ACACTCTCTGCAGATGACCCAGTGTTACTTTGAGGGGGGCTACCAGGAGACCCCTGTGTACCTGCTGGGAGAGCTGGGCTATGGGCACAAGCTCCAGGGGCCCTGCCTCATCATCGACAGTAACAGGTGGGCTGAGGTCCAGCCAGGGTGGAGGGTGTGGAGGGGTCAACTGTGGGGCCTCTGGTGTGAGGTTCTCTGGCCCAATGTTGCAGGGGCCTGCAGGACTCTGTATTCCACCATCGTTGGGGTGTCCCCTGGCCTGGGACTGTGGTGTCTCTGGCCCCATGCAGCCTCTCTGTGCCCTCTGCTCCTTAGCACCATCCTGGTGGAGCCAGGTTGCCAGGCAGAGGTGACTGAGACAGGGGACATCCGCATCTCTGTGGGGGCTGAAGCCCCCGGTACGGTGGGCACCCAGCTGGACCCTATCCAGCTGTCCATCTTCTCACACCGCTTCATGAGCATTGCTGGTGAGTGGCCGCTGCCAGGTTCCCTGCTGCCCTGGCTCCCTGTGGGATAAGGTGCCATCTGTGTCATGGGGTGGCTGGCAGGGCTGTGCCCAAAGGGAAGGGCAAAAATAGGACCCCCTGGCGACCGGGCGGGCAGTGTGGCCGCAGCACTGGCATGGTGCAGTTGGCCATGAGAACAGGCCTTGGGCAGGGAGGACACCTTCCCCTCTCACCCATAGCCGTGTTATCTGGGGATTGCCTACCTGGCTAAGGAGGGTTCTTGAGGACACCACAGGGAACCCATCTGTGCAGGGTCAGGCCAGTGGCTTGGTGAGAGGGGTCAAGAGCCTAGGAAGCACGTTCTTGCTGTGCCAGGCAGGGTGGGAGGGCTGAGGGCTGGCACCAGGTTCTTGCTGGGAGCTCCAGGAGGGGCTGGGGAGGAAGGTGGTGTCCTTTACACAGACGAAGACATGTGGCCAAGTGGGCATGCCGCCACTTTGGTCTTCCCCAGGTAAAAGCTGCTGGGTCCTGGGTTTGAGCCCTGGTGGGTCCTGTTCCTCCCTTTCCTGGGCCATGCTGTGGGTGGGTGGGACCAGCGGGTGCCTGGTCACTTTGTGTCCCCAGAGCAGATGGGCCGCATCCTGCAGCGCACGGCCATCTCCACCAACATCAAGGAGCGCCTCGACTTCTCCTGTGCCCTCTTTGGGCCCGATGGGGGGCTTGTGTCCAATGCCCCCCACATCCCTGTGCACCTGGGCGCCATGCAGGAGACTGTGCAGTTCCAGGTGTGGGGGCCCCTCCCTCGCCCACCCTCCCTCACCCCCCATCCCGCTCTGCCCCCTGCTCCCCTGTGCCCACTCTGCCCCTGTCTCCTGTTTCAGATCCAGCACCTGGGTGCCAACCTCCACCCTGGCGATGTGCTACTGAGCAACCATCCCAGTGCCGGGGGCAGCCACCTGCCAGACCTAACTGTTATCACACCGGTGAGGGGTGCCACCCACCTGCCTCTGCTGGGGCAGGGTGGCCGATGCAGCTGACCGTGGCTTTCCACCCGCTAGGTGTTTTGGCCGGGTCAGACGCGGCCTGTGTTCTATGTGGCCAGCCGAGGGCACCATGCAGACATCGGGGGCATCACACCGGGCTCCATGCCCCCCCACTCCACCACGCTGCAACAAGAGGGCGCCGTCTTTCTGTCCTTCAAACTCGTCCAGGGGGGCGTCTTCCAGGAGGAGGGTGAGTGGGAGCGGGGTGGGGCGGGCCTGCTGCAGGCTGGGACACAGAGCTACGGCTGGCAAGCAGGCTTGGCTGGGGCATGGGATGCAGTCCACAGGCCCAGGCCTGCCTTGAGGCTGGGAGGAGATAGGTGGTGACCCCAGGGGGCAGCTGCAGGTCAGATCTCAGGAGCTGAGATGAATTCAGCCTCCGCCAAGGAAGGCCTCTGGGGGGTGGTTTTGCGGGTGGAGAGTTAGCCAAGATGCGCAGGGTCAGGGTGCTGGAGGCAGAGGAGCCTGTTTTCAGGGTGGGCGGCTGCTTGTGGTGTGTGCAGTCACACTGGGTGGGGGCCGCAGAGAAACAGCAGGGCAGGGGCAGGGCCCAAAGGCCCCTGGAGAGTTTTCTGGGCCTGGGTCCTAGTCACTGGGAGGTGAGTGGCCGTGAAGGGCCTTCAGCTGGGTGTGCACTGGTGTCCTGCTGTGCCCACGTGTAGAGCGGATGCGGGGTCTGAGAGTGGCCCAGAGGCTGGGGGGCAAGAGGGGGTGCAGCTGCAGTTGCCTTGGATGATGCTGAGCCGGGCTCAGTGGAGGGTGGGGGCAGGGGGTGGGGGGCTCTTTTGGAGGTGGAGGTGGGTATTTGGAGGGATTTGGGAGACAGGACCAGGGTCAAGTTTGGGCAGCTGGAGGTGGAGGCCCTGGCACTGAGCAGCTGCAGGGAGGGTGGGATGGAGACTGCAGGGGTGCCTGCGGTGCGGGTGCAGGTAGGGCAGACAGGAGAAAGCAGCCCTGGTCTGAGGCTGCAGATCTGGGAGCTCGGGAAGTGGCGTGGCCAGGGTGGAGGGTGGGGGTGGGGGGTGGGTGGGTGTCATGGAACCACAGGCTGTTCTGGGTGTCAACACAAATGGGGTGGCCCATTCCTGGCTGCTCTTTTGTTCAGTATGAGCTGGGGCAGGGGGTGTGGACCACAGAGGGCCACACACAGGTGTATTGCAGAGGGCCCTGTGGCCAGGGTGCCTCAGAGAGGACCCTGACCCAGGTTCAAGGAGAGGGCCTTTCCTGAGGTGGGGAGCAGTCCCCGGCCAGACATCACTGTTCTCTAGGGGCAGGAGACCTTGTCAGGATCCGGGAAACCTGGGTTTGGGGGGGCAGACAGGCTTGGCCAGGGGCTCAGTGATAACACTGTTCATCCAGCGGTGACTGAGGCCCTGAGGGCGCCAGGCAAGGTCCCCAACTGTAGTGGAACCAGAAACCTGCATGACAACCTGTCAGACCTCCGTGCCCAGGTGGCAGCCAACCAGAAGGGCATCCAGCTGGTGGGGGAGCTCATTGGGCAGTACGGCCTGGACGTGGTGCAGGCCTACATGGGCCATATTCAGGTGGGCCTGGGCACAGGAGTGTGGGCAGCAGGGCCACCCTGCAGGTGGCCAGGCTGCCACTGACTCTACTTCCTGCCAGGTGAACGCGGAGCTGGCCGTGCGTGACATGCTGCGTGCCTTTGGAACCTCCCGGCAGGCCCAGGGCCTGCCCCTGGAGGTGTCCTCGGAAGACCACATGGATGACGGTTCCCCCATCTGCCTCCGCGTGCAGATCGACCTGAGACAGGTGGGCTGCAGGGAGAGGGCCTCTGGGCGGCAGGGTCATAGACCCGAGGCTGACGCCCTCTTGCTTCCCTGGGGCGCAGGGCAGCGCTGTGTTTGACTTCAGCGGCACCGGGCCGGAGGTGTTTGGCAATCTCAACGCCCCGCGGGCTATAACCCTGTCCGCCCTCATCTACTGCCTGCGCTGTCTGGTGGGCCGCGACATCCCGCTCAACCAGGTTCGCAGGGGCGTGTGTGAGAGGAGGGGCCTCAGCCCGAGGTCACCGTGAGTGCGCCTCCTGGGCCCAGCCATGGACTGACCCCCAAGGGTGCTGAGGGGGGTGCTGTTTCTCCTGGAGCCCCAGAGTGGGTTCCACCCACCCTACGAGCCCCTGAAAGCCGCCCGCCCCACACAGGGCTGCCTGGCGCCAGTGCGCGTGGTGATTCCCCGAGGCTCAATCCTGGACCCGTCGCCAGAGGCGGCCGTGGTGGGAGGCAACGTGCTCACGTCGCAGCGCGTGGTGGATGTCATCCTGGGGGCCTTTGGGGCCTGCGCCGCCTCCCAGGTGCGGGGCGGGGTGGGGCGGGCTGGGTGGGGGCGGGCGGCGAGGTAGGGACGCCCCGCCCCAGCGCAGCGCAGAGACCGCATGCCCTCGCCAGGGCTGCATGAACAACGTGACCCTGGGCAACGCGCACATGGGCTACTACGAGACGGTGGCGGGCGGCGCGGGCGCGGGCCCCGGCTGGCATGGGCGCAGCGGCGTGCACAGCCACATGACTAACACGCGCATCACCGACCCCGAGATCCTGGAGAGCCGGTGAGCGGCGCGCGCGGCGGCCGGGGTGGGGGGACCGGGCCGAGGGCCGCGCTGAGCCTCTGCCCTCGCCCCCGCAGGTACCCGGTCGTCCTGCGCCGCTTCGAGCTGCGGCGGGGCTCTGGGGGCCGAGGCCGCTTCCGCGGCGGCGACGGTGTCGTCCGCGAGCTGCTCTTTCGCGAGGAGGCGCTGCTGTCGGTGCTGACCGAGCGCCGCGCCTTCCGGCCCTACGGGCTCCACGGTGCGCAGCCCCCCAGTCCCCGCGGCCGGCCCCGCCCCCCCCCCCCCCCCCCCCCCCCCCCCCCGCCCCCCCCCCGCCCCCCCCCCGCCTCCCCCCCCGCCTCTCTGGACTCCTCGCCTCCCTCCGCAGGGGGCGAGCCTGGAGCCCGCGGCCTAAACCTGCTGATCCGCAGAAACGGCCGGACGGTGAATCTGGGCGGCAAGACGTCGGTGACCGTGTACCCCGGGGTAAGGGCTGCGGCCTGTCCTGGTCCCCTCCCCACCGGCCCCCATCCCACGGACGGTGAACAGTTGCAAACATGACCACACGCCAGAGTTTAATTTGGCCCCGGGAGGAAAGGGGGTGCGTGCTGGGCCTCTGCAGTCCACGGGGCGGGTGATGGACGCTGTCCCGCGGGGGAGGGGGCTGCGCAGGTGACGGGGAGGGGCTGTGCCTGCGCTGAGCCCGCCCCCCTCCACAGGACGTGTTCTGTCTCCACACGCCCGGCGGCGGGGGCTACGGGGACCCGGAGGACCCCGCCCCACCGCCGGGGTCCCCCCCGCTAGCGCTGGCCTTCCCGGAGCACGGTAGCGTCTTCGAGTACCGCCGGGCCCAGGAGGCCGTGTGAGGGTCAGACTGCTCGGCCCAGTCCAGCAGCAGCGTCGGCAATAAAGATCCCTTAAGTCGTCCGGTTCTCGGGGCGAGGCCACTGCGTCTACTTCGTGCTCCAAGCCGTGTCTGTGTGTGCCGGCTACGCGCCTTCCACCTGCGCCTTAGGACGACGCGGAGACTCGTAGCTGCAGGCCCACCACCAGGTGGTCCGTGAGCCCTGCCAGGGCGGTGCTGAACGTCACCTGCTCCACCTCCTGGGGGCGGGGTCAGGTTGAGGGTCGTCCCAGCGCTGCAGGCCCAGCCACCCTGGGCCCCGGCACTCACTGGGCGCAGCAGGCCCCCGGGAACTCCGCGGTAGGTGATGTAGTCCAGGCGCCGACCTCTCCAGGGCTTAGCCCGGCGGCTTCTGCAGGGATGGCCGGCCAGGTAGAGGTGGCGCCCTTTCTCCTGCTCCAGGGCCCTGGTAGGGAGGGGCGGTGTCGCCAAGGCCAGGGCCCCACTACGGGCTCGGGGTGGGCAGTGCCTGCCTCCCAGTCACTCACCGCCGCAGCATCTCGGGGGAGCAGGCCACGGAGTGGTGGAGCACGGAGGTGCTCAGTACGGTCCCTGGGGGCCCGGGGGAGGGCGGTATCAGCCGGAGCCTCGGCCGACAGCGCTCCTCAGGCCCACTTCCCGCTCCGGAGCCCTCCCCATAAGCGTGATACCCAGGGCCCAGGGCTGCTCCTGGCGCGTGCCCAGTCGGCAGGGGTCCTGGAAGCGGTTGAAGAGCTCGTGCTCCTGCTCCAGCGCGTGGTCTGCAGAGACAGACCGGCTCGCGGTGGGGGGAGGAGGGTGGGCCTCCTGGCTCCGCCCTCCCTCCTGCTCCGCCCTCCCCCCCTCCCCCATCCTCCCCCTCCCTTCCTTCTTGCTCGACCTTTTGAGCAGTTGTCGAAGTTTAGGTTGCCCAGGAGCACGCTGAAAGCCACGACCTCTCCACTCTGGTCGCTCTGTGCCTCAAACTGCTCGGCCCAGTCCAGCAGCAGCGTCAGCTGTTTGCTGCGCAAGGGCCCGTCCTCTGCGGCGGGGAGGGGGGTGGGGTGCGCTTGGCTCCGATTCGAACCCGCAACTAGCCCCCGCCTCCCCAGTTCTTGGTGTGTGAGCCCCGACCGGCACGTCTCAGGAATTCCCTTGCCTGGGGCAGTGTACAAAGGCTGCGAAGTGGGGGGCGTGGTGCAGGCGAAGGTAGGGATCGGCTGCCGCCACCGAGAGGCGGGACCTGTTCCAAGGACCCCACCCACAGGGCTCACCAGCCGGTGCTTGCAAGTGCGTGCAGTGCAGGAATCCCACGATGCGGCGCCCGTCCAGGCAGCCCAGCTGCGCCTGCAGCGACACAGACGGCCCCAGCTTCTCTCGCCATCCCAGCCGAATCCCCCGCCCGGTCCGCGAGCCGCGCAGGTTACGCCAGTACCTGTGCGGACAGTAGTCCCTTGGAAGCCAGCGCGTCCTCGCCACGCGCATGGGGGAAGCAACGGAAGGCGGCGCGCAGCAGCGGGTAGCGCGAGGCCAGCAGCAGCCCGCTGCCCAGTAGCTTCAGGTGCGGCCCCGGCTGTAGGCCGAAGGTACCCACGTCGTACAGCACGGGACCCAGGTTGGGCGCCAGGCGGTTCACCAGGCGACGCGCTGCTCGCAGATCGAATACTTCCTGCAGGCACACAAAGTCCAGACCCACGGGCAGCGAGGCCACCAGTGCCCCGCGCGGCGCCCTGGGCCAGGGCTGGGTGCAGTCCGCCGCCCTGTAGAGCGCAGGCCGCAGACCGGCCAGCAGCGCGGCGCCGATGGCCTCGGCCCGTCGCTGGCTGTGCGGCAGGTTGTTGAAGCGCGCCAGCCCGTGGGGGAGCAGGCACAGATCGGCTGTGAGGAAGGCAAAGCAGCGCCCGGGTTCAGCCGGCGGGCGCCAGGGTGCGGGCGGCGCCCAGCACAGCGGAGGGGGGCGGTAGCAGAAGGGGCGGCGCCAAACCTGCAGCCACAGCCAGAGCAGCAGGCCGGGCAGCGCCAGGGGCAGGCCGACCAGCAGCAGCAGCAGCAGCGCCGCGCCGCCGCGCGCCGCCAGTCTCAGCCGCCCCAGGCTCATCGGGCGCGCCGTTGGTGCACAGCAGCCCAGCAGCTGATCCAGGGTCCAGTAGGCCGGGAAGAGCAGCGCGCGCGCCAGGCGGTGGAGGCCGTGCAGCGCCGGATGCGGGAAGGGCGAGGGCCGCAGGGCGCCGGGGGCCGGGGGCCAGTCGGGCGGGGATGGCATGGTGCGGCCGCGGGGCGCGGGGGAGGCTCATTGGCTTCCAGAGTACAGGCTGGCTCGTCTGTGCGTCCACGCAAACTGCGGAGGAGTCGAGGGGTGAAGGCCACGTGGCGCAGCCTGTGCACAGAGCCCGCGGGGAGGCTCGGGCTTGGGTAGCCCGGCGCTTTCGCTTAGCGAAGCCGCCCACTCCTCACCCTCGAGGAACTTCGGCGGCTGTTGGGAGAACAAGTGAAAATCCAAAAGGGACCTAATCTCCAATCCCCACCCTGTATCCTCCTTGCCCCGCGCCATCCACCTGCGAAGGCGCACGGGGATCGGCTGCAGCCAGCGCCACCTGGACCGCGACCGTTCTTGAGTGCGGGCGGCGCCGCGCAGGTGAGGAGCAGTGTGCGCTCCTCGCCAGTACTCGCCCCCACGCAGGTCAACACGGAATAGGCTGCGCACTCCAGCTCCCCCAAGGCAGAATCCACCCCACCCACTACGCGTCTCTCTGCAGCCCCGCGGTGTCGGGGCGCCTGAGTTCAAAGACCTGACACCCTAGGAGGGATGGACCCCTGCCCAGCGCCCCGCACAGCCCACCAGAAGGCCAGCCCGCAGTGGTGACGGCCCTGTGTCCCTACCCCATGGAGCTTCCAATCTAGAGGGAGGGACCGTTGGTTTTGTCCCGCACGCGCTGCGCGCTCCACCGGGGCACGCGAGCCTGACTGAAGGTTTCCCCAGTCGCCCAGCCCTCGGGCATCCCTAGTCTGTTCCCAACACTGGCCGGCCAGGAGCCCCAGGCTCTGCTCGCCTCTCACCTGTCTAATTGGACGTCTGATTGGATGCGCGGTCAGCTGCTGCAAATGTGTTAAATAGCCCTGGGAGTTTGGGTCAGGGCTGCCCTTCCCTGCGAAGAGGTTAGGTGTCTGGCAGGATCCCCTGAAGTCTCAGGAGGCCTGGGCGCTGGGAGGGCAGAGGCAGCAGGCTCAGCTGCCCGGGCATCCCGGCAGGGCGGGCACACCCTGCATACCCTCTTGGTTCTGGGACTCCTTGCTGGTTGCTGAAAGATTCCCATTGGAACCCAGACCCCATGGGTCCATTGCTGCCTCCTGTCATCCCCCCTGACTGGCAAGCACTGGTGTTCCAGGACCTTCCTCAGTTGGAGTTTTCACCCCTGCTTCCCATCGCAGCTGGCCTCCTCGCCTTCCTGCATGTGGGCTTGCTCCTGTCTTACCCAGTGGCTGAGGCCTCTCTAGGATTTCCCACACTGCACGTGTCTTCCTCCCTGGGGACTTCCCATCCTGGCCAGCCCCCTCAGCTTCCTGCACTTCCCACAAGTCCTTCCCAGCACCCCATCTGCCCTCAGTGCACTGTGGGTGGCCCCTGGGCTGCCTCCGCATCCTGCTGGTGCTCCTCAGCTCCTGCAGCAGGTGGGGTCTGCCCTTGTCAGCTCTGAATCCCTCTCAAAGTCTCTGGGGCCTGTGGAATGGCCTTGTATGTCTTGGGAAGGGGCTGCCACTTCGCTGGGCTGCTCCATGCCCAGGTTGGGGTGAGGCTGCTTTCTCCTGGCTCTTCTTCCTCAAATGTCCTCTTGTCCTCAAGGTGTGGAAGACCCCTCCCCCAGCCCTGGCCTAGTATGGGGGCAGGGACCCCCCACCCACATCCTGGTCTCCTCCCACCTCTGCCTTCTGCTCTGCACTGAGTGCGCCCCTCATGGCTTCGGCAGGTGCAGAGGCATGGCCCTTCTCTTGCTGCTCCTTCCCGGTTCCTGCCCTTCCCCATCCCAGTCCCAGGAGCTCCGACTTCTTTCAGTGCCATGGAAGGGGAGCCTGGGGGCCTTCAGACCAACCCCACAGACCACTGCTGAGCCTTGGCTTCTTGGGGCCCTTGCAGAGGGCCCGGGATGGGCATGGACCTCCAGGGCAGGCAGGACTGAAGGGGCGCAGTGCAGGGGCCTGGTGGGCCACCCGAGAGGAGGCAGCACCACCCGGAGTGCTGGCATGGGCCCATTAAAGCGTTGGTAGAAGCTTTAATGGCCGTGCACGGGGGTGTGGGCCGAGCGAGCCTGGACGGCCCAGCTCCAGCGTCACCAGATGAACATGGGCTTGCCGTCGTCATGAGCCAGCTGGTTGAGGCAGGAGAGCAGCAGCAACGCGTCGGTGAGCATGCTGGGGTGCACGGTCTCCACGAGTACGCGCTGCAGGAAGTCCACGGTGTAGGAGCCGCCCTCAGACGCCGCCAGCTCCGGGCGCTCTCGCAGGATGCCATAGGCATTCACCAGCTGCTCGGTCAGCGCAGGGTGCACCCGCCCGTTGTAACCCAGACTCTGTAGCCTGTTCATGATGCTCACATAGCGCTGTGTGAGCATCTGGCACAGCTCCTCGTCCAGCTTGTGGTCACTGGGGTTCAGGGAGGCCTGTTGGGGAGAGCAGCCTTCAGGGACCCTCCCTTGCCACACCTTCATACACAGGCAGGCAAAGGGAAGACGGAGGGGCACGTGAGGCTGCAAACGGCCAGGATCCGAGGGGTGTGAGGTGGGGAGGTTCTGGAAGAGGCTTCAAGGATGTAGGACAGGAGCCCAGTGGGCAGAGCCTGACAGAGAGGTCTTCAAGGCCCAAGCTGGGCAGGGCAGTGGCTCCCAAAGCTCCTCAGGGAGCCTCAGCCACAGGATAGAAGAGGGTGCCCCAATCCACCACCAGGGATTGCAGCTGGGCTGAAGTCTCCAGGGACTGAGGACAGGGGTCGTGGCTGGGCATCTTGAGGCACACAGGGTCCGCTGACCCAGGGATCTGTGGTCTTTTCCAGGCCTCCTCCTGGCTCCCTGATCTGCTCCCTTTCAGCCTCTGAAGGCCCCGCCTTCCTTACCCTGGCCTCCATCCTCAGAACCCTCTAGTCCCCAGGAGACTCCCGGCACTCCCCCAACACTGAACTGACAACCCCAGCCAAGTGCTGCCGTCAGCGCCGAGGGGCCTGGCTGCTTCCTGTCTCCTTCGGTGCCCGGGGCCAGGGCCTGGGAACCAGCACATTTGGGTCAGTTTCAACTCACTTCCTCGTGGCCTGTGTCCTCCCAACAGCCAGGCAGCGACTGGGTCCTGCCCTAAGGCATGTAATCATGAAGGCAGCCCCTCCTCCCACCCTGCCTGCCACTGCCCCTGGGTGTGTGACCTGGGTGGTTGTGGAAAGCCCAGTGCCCAGCTCAGTGCTCTCTGGCACCATCCTAAATTTCTAAGTTTGGAATTATTTTCATTTTGCTCTCGGCCCTGCAAACTTTGCAGCTTGTCTGTCTCAGGTGCAGCTGTCCCCGCCTCCAGGCCTAGGCCTGCCTGCTGCCTGCACAGGCCCACAGAGCCACGGGTCTGAAGTGGAAGTTGGATGGGTTATCCCTACCCAAGCTCCTCCTGCCATTTCCACTGCTGCGACACTTGGGGCAGGGCCACCCTCCAGGGACCTCCATCTGTCCCTGAACTTCCAGCTATGTCCCACTGTGTCCCAGATGCCTGCCGCGCTGGTCCCCAACCTGCTGGGAGTACTCTTCCCCACTCCTTGCCCAGACAACCTATTCGGGGAAGGCTCCCAGGCCGGTCGTATGTGCAGGACACCAGACACGGGGCTGGACTCAGGACCCGGCCCAGCTGATGTGACCCCAACCTCTGCCAGGTGCTCCCAGAGCATGTGCTCAGTGCCGCTGTTGCCCGGATGCGCCTGGGATGGACACGTCTCCCTAGTTGTAGGTTCTTGGCCTGAGTCTTCTAGGCAGGTGAACAGTATGCACAGTTGTGGGGGCAGGAAGACACCATTGAGGTTCAGCGCAGGAGTAAGGGCCTGTGGACAGCCATGCTCAATGGCTGCTTCTGCGCCACTTCTGCCTGAGCCTCAGTTTCCCTGCTGGGATGTGGAGGAGATCACAGTGCCACCTGCAGGAGTGTGCTGAGAGTTACAGGCAATGGCCCCAGTGATCACTGAGCACCGGGCCACTCTGTCTTATAGATATTCCCTCAAGGAATAGAGAAGGCAGAGCACCCAAGATGAAGTATGAGGCCAAGATCTGGGTGGGGAGACTGCAAGGCGGTGCCACCGTCTCTCCACTCCCCTGCTCCCAGAGCATGCGCCGCCTCTGTCTTCTGTTTATTGCTTTACGTATTTACTAAATGCCTTCCCAGGGGAGCGTGTTGGTTCAGGACTGCCTGGTGTGCACCTGGCTTGATACTAGTCAGGAGTAGGTGGGTGCAGGGAGGAGGCGGCTGCGGGCCAGTGGGAGTGAGTCGTGGAAGAGTCTGTAGGACCCAGTGTCGGTGGGATGTGGAGAAGGGCACCTGTGACCACGTCCACACTGTCCTCAGAGGTGCAGGCCTGTGCTCAGCACCCAGGCCTTTCTTATGCGCAGCTCCTGGGACACTGCCACGTGCTCCATGGCAAGAATGTGGCAGCAGGTGTCATAGTCACTGTCTGAGCCCAGGGCAGGTACATTACAAATCAATTCAAAGACAGCCAAAAACACCTGTGAAAGTTGCTGGTATCAGAATAGAGTCACTTACATAAAAAAAAAAAAAAAATGTAGTCGGTAGGCCAGCGCAGTGGCTCACACTTGTAATCCCAGCACTTTGGGAAGCCCAGGCAGGCAGATCACCTGAGGTTGGGAGTTCAAGACCAGCCTGACCAACATGGAGGAACCCCACAAAACACAAAAGTAGCTGGGCAGGGTGGCAAATGCCTGTAATCCCAGGTAGTTGGGAGGCTGAGGCAGGAGAATTGCTTGAACCCGGGAAGCAGAGGCTGCAGTGAGCTGAGATTGCACCACTGCATTCCAGCCTGGGTGACAGAGCAAGACTCTGTCTCAAAAAAAAAAAAAAAAAAATTAGCCAGGTG